TATTATATAAAATCAATATAAAAAAGTGAATCGCAATACTGCAACTCACTTTTATTATATAGTAGAATCAATAGTTTCAGGTCAACAGGTCAATCAGGTCAGGTCAATCTTCATACCTGACCTGAATTTTTTTTAAAAATCTCATACCTGACCTGAATTTCAGGTCAGGTCAGGTCAGGTTACCTGAATTTGGCTGACCTGTTCGGAGCTCTATCTCGCAATGTTTTTCTCGAAATATTGCAATTCAACATTTTTATATTAAAATCATATAAAAAAGTAAATCCCAATACTGCAATTCACTTTTTTTATATAGAATTAATATAAAAAAGTGAATCGCAATATCACAACTTACTTTTTTTATATAGAATTAATATAAAAAAGTGAATCGCAATATCGCAACTCATAAAAAAGTGAATCGCAATACTGCAACTCACTTTTATTATATAGTAGAATCAATAGTTTCAGGTCAACAGGTCAATCAGGTTAGGTCAATCTTCATACCTGACCTGAATTTTTTTCAAAAATCTCATATCTGACCTGAATTTCAGGTCAGGTCAGGTCAGGTTACCTGAATTTGGCTGACCTGTTCAGAGCTCTAGGAGGATCCCGAACAATATATATATAGGTCAAATAAAAAATTCAAAATTTACTAAGGTCAATAAGCAAATATTTTTCATGTCTGCTAAGCAAACTTTTATCTAACCCATAAATTTTTTACACTGCTAAGCAACTTATTTTATGACATATATATATTTATATATAATTTTTTTTATAAAATATGTATATAAAAAAAAACTAAAAAAACAAAAATTTTTGAAATAATGTATGGATAAAGCTATTATTATTTTTTTGTAATATTACAACTTATAAATGTTTCTTATTAATATTTCGTATATCTGTTCTGTGACTTCATAGCGTAATTTAGGCACTTTAGTCAAAGAAAACATCCAAAACCTTCTTCTTAAGTAAAGTTGTTCAGCAGGTTCGAATCTACTTACATATAAATTTTTATCATGATTGAATAGATATTTATGGATTTATTCATGTTTTTTGTAATGCCACCAATACGCAGAATTTTTATTTTTAAAATTTACTGTAAAATTTGTCAAAAAAAATATTTTTAAAAAATTTTCTAAGTAAAAATGAAATAACTTTTATTAATTACAGTCAACTCCCTTTATAGTCACTCCCGTTATAGTCACATTCTACTACATAGTCACACCAGTTGAATGTTCAAAACACTTTATTATTAAAATCTATCCTATATAGTTACAATCTATCTATAGTCACTATCACACCTATCCTCAAAAATCTTATATTAAAAAAAACCGTTTATAATCACAGTTATATAAAGAATATATTAAATAACTTGGCGTCTAATAATCATACAAAGATGTATTATAGCTTGTTAGAATCGTCTCACTGAGACGAATCAAATGGTGTTATTTTTATCCTTTTCCTTTGCAAGTGTTTACGGCCAGACCACCCATTGCCTCTTATGAGACTAATCTCGGGTCTGTATCCTATCATCTTCAATGGGCAACCATTATACCGAGTACTTAATTCCTCAGGTAACAGCACCACTATAGAAGACATCCCCCATCGGGCCATTTTAGGCTGATCTGAAACTAGGTACACGCCGCCTACTCATCCTATACCCTTTCCATGATACTGATACTCAATTTATTTAACGACCTTTAGAGAGCATCTACTTTCATGGAGGACTTTCGACAGGTAACATCAACCATCTAGTACCCTTCCATACCACCATTTTAGGTACTAAGTCTCACTCAAAGGCCACTACAGCCCGCGATTACCTAGCACCGATAGTACAGTTGTTTACCCCAAGTGGTATACTTTGTAGTGACCACTCGGACAGGAAGTAGCAGGCATCTGTCCAGGATCACCCCTTATGGTGGGTATCAACCACCAGGGATCACCAACCAGGACCCAAGGAGTAGGGAATCGAACCCCATAGCCATGCTACCTGTTCTGTGCACGAACACCTTGGTTGGTCTAAGACCTAACAGAAGGTCTAACTACCACTAAGACATTGCACCCTCAGCTTTACCATCTAGGACGACCATCTAGCCATTACTGACCCCAAGCGGTATCGTAGAGTGACCACCCGGACAGGAAGTCCCCCCCAAGGTATAGTAGTGACCTCAAGGACAGGACTGCGCACATGCCAATGGCCTCATAGGGAACGTTAGAAGGACACCATGACCCTTAGTTGAAATGTGCGGCCTAACCGTACACACTAATTCACCATGATGCAGTCCAACTACACTAATCCCTGTACCTTCACGCTATTGGTTGTAGCGTCCGCAGTAAAATTCTTTTTATTTCCGTGGTCATGGGAATCGAACCTGCGACCTCACCATACTCAGGCTTAATGAGGGTCTCAGTGACTAACCACCGAGATAGGGTGACCAACCCTAGTTTTATCCTTTTCCTTTGCAAGTGTTTACGGCCAGACCACCCATTGCCTCTTATGAGACTAATCTCGGGTCTGTGTCCTATCATCTTCAATGGGCAACCATTATACCGAGTACTTAATTCCTCAGGTAACAGCACCACTATAGAAGACATCCCCCATCGGGCCATTTTAGGCTGATCTGAAACTAGGTACACGCCGCCTACTCATCCTATACCCATTGCATGATACTGATACTCAATTTATTTAACGACCATCTACTTTCATGGAGGACTTTCGACAGGTAACATCAACCATCTAGTACCCTTCCATACCACTATTTTAGGTACTAAGTCTCACTCAAAAGCCACTACAGCCCGCGATTACCTAGCACCGATAGTACAGTTGTTTACCCAAGTGGTATACTTTTGTAGTGACCACTCAGACAGGAAGTAGCAGGCATCTGTCCAAAATCACCCCTTATGGTGGGTATCAACCACCAGGGATCACCAACCAGGACCCAAGGAGTAGGGAATCGAACCCCATAGCCATGCTACCTGTTCTGTGCACGAACACCTTGGTTGGTCTAAGACCTAACAGAAGGTCTAACTACCACTAAGACATTGCACCCTCAGCTTTACCATCTAGGACGACCATCTAGCCATTACTGACCCCAAGCGGTATCGTAGAGTGACCACCCGGACAGGAAGTCCCCCCCAAGGTATAGTAGTGACCTCAAGGACAGGACTGCGCACATGCCAATGGCCTCATAGGGAACGTTAGAAGGACACCATGACCCTTAGTTGAAATGTGCGGCCTAACTGTACACACTAATTCACCATGATGCAGTCCAACTACACTAATCCCTGTACCTTCACGCTATTGATTGTAGCGTCCGCAGTAAAATTCTTTTTATTTCTGTGGTCATGGGAATTGAACCTGCGACCTCACTATACTCAGGCTTAATGAGGGTCTCAGTGACTAACCACTGAGATAGGGTGACCAACCCTAGTATTTTTATCCTTTTCCTATGCAAACAGTCTATAGACTTTATCTTTTATTTATATTTAAACTTCAAAAACATAATCGAACAATATTACAAAAATAAGAAAATAAACGAATAAAAAATAAAAAGAGTAGCTTCACGACTCATACAAGTAAAGAAAACTAAACTAAAATAATATTAAAGCAAAGAAAAACTAAACTATTACAGAATCGCATACCCCAACTTTACCCGAAGGCCAGTGTGAGTCAACTATCTAACATCCAAAGATCCAAACCGTTACCAGAAGGAAATCCTAAGAGGTTGAACTGTTAAGCGGCGCAGAAAATCCAAGTGCGAGATCCAAGATCCACCTCGAATTATAAAAGAGGATATCCAAGAAATCCAGGAATCCTGAGAAACTGTCGCCAGAGAAGAGTTGTGATGATGAGGAGAAATAGTAGAGGCGGTAGTTGAAGAAGGGCCACGTAATTTTGAAGAAGCAGTAATACCCTGCGATTCTTCCCAAGTGTGAAAAAGAACATTTCACTAACAAGCTAGTCGAATTAATCTTTAACCGAAGTTTTATGTGTAAATTCTGGCTGACATAAAATGTTGTAAAAGTTTGTAATTCAATAGAGTAAATTCATCAATCGCTAAAGCGCTGTATATAAATTTCCGATACAGAATAATAAAATTTGTATTCATAAAAAAGTAGGAAGAGAAAATAGAAAAGCTTAAAATAAGCGTAAAAGAAGTGAAAAAGGAGAATGATTAAAAGTAAATAATAAAAAAAAAAATCAGCGCAATTAGCGCATTAAAAAAACAGGGTGAACAAAATCAGCGGGTAAATCCCACAGTGTTCAAAAATCAGAAGGAGCAGGGTAAAGATGTGAATCAAACCAAGGTGCACAAACATCCAATAACATTAAGATATCACAAGGTTTAACACGACCTAGTTTGAAAGAAAACCGTGTATCACTATTCCAAAGATGTGAAAATGTCGAAGAGGAAGCCGATTTGGTGATAATAGATTGGATGGCATCTCGAAGATACTTCTTCGATACCGAGGAAGTGTTGTACTTGGAAATTAATAACCAGAGAAAATTGTGAGAAGGTAAATAAATGGAAGCACTATACGAGAGTATCCTTCAGACCATATCAATAATGGAACGACTAAAGCCAAGAGTTTTAAAATCTTGATAATCAATAACAGGGCAGTTCAGACCAACAAAAGGACCAGAGGTGGGTTTGTCAGTAATAAAATGACTTCCAACTACAGAAGAGGGATTCAAAACCACTTTTTGGATAGAACCTGTAAATTTAGAAGATAAAAACGCAACTGAAGAGTGATGTGAACGTTCGTTCAAACAGAAGGAAACATCAGGGCGCGAAGATACGAGATTACGTATATTCTGGACAATTGAATAATCAGTAGTAGACATAGTCAAATGATAGGAGGTAAGAGGAATGACTATAGCATGATCCTTAGTGGCCATCAACATGGAAGAGTCAAGAAGATCGGGCTGAATAACATGTCGTGAAAATTTGCTCCAGTCTGATAAAAGGTCTTTGTGGCGTTCTTGACGGGCAAGTTGTTTCTTCGAAGGGTGGGAAATGGATTTGTGAGCAGAGTATGAGATAAGAGTTCGTGCTGAAAGTGTACCACTGTCATCTTTAAGAATATGATGAAAAGCATAAGATTTGCGGTAGGAAAGTCCTAGGCGTCAGGAAGTTACATCTTTATAAAAACCATCAGCGTGTCTTTTAGACACACAGTTACAAGGTAAAGTGAAAGAAGGAGAAGGAGGAGGAGGAGGAGTGTGAACAAGTTTTTTGTCATGAATATGACAAGCATGACGAAAGCGAGACATAACATAGGCAGCGGGAGTCTTGCAAAACGGGCAACCAAAATAAAGGCCAAGGTAAAAGCAAGATTGATGATATCGAAATTGAATAAAGGTACGAGTACGTCTATTATTACGATGAGAAGATGACCAACGAGCAAGAGAGGTAACACGTTGTGTTAATAAAAGCTGGCGTAATCTATTAAAATATTTACGTCGAGCATGAGAGGGAATACGGTTTTGTCGGTAAAAGAAAAAGGTTAAAAATTTTGATAAAATAAATTTCAAATTAGGAGAAGGACGATCAGATGTAAATTGAAATGGCTCAGTAGTTGAAAGGAGAGGAGAATTGGTATGAATCGAATAACAATTATCCGAATCAGGAGTGGGGTCCAAAAGGAAGTAACAGTTGCCTCGTCGAATAGAATATAAACGATTAGAGCTAATATTTCGAGCAGGACGTATCCATCCATCCAGGATGGTACGTATTGTGAAAGTGTAAGATAAACACTGTGCATTATCATGAAGAAGGGCTGAAGCAGAAGTTGCAGGTGAAGATCCTGCAGGTATACAATTTAGAGAAAGGACCAGAGGAGGAACGTTATTGTCATTATCAGCGGTATCTACTAGAGCTGAAATATGGGGAGTTATGAGAGAGGAATCTAGGAATTTATTTTGAAAGGGACTTTTAGGTTGGGAAGGACGTGATAAAGGTGGAACCAATAAACGTATTGTAGAAGGGGATAAAACCAAACGCGCAAAAGACAATTTTGTCTTAATTTTCTGTGCGCGCTTAAAGGATGCAGGGGAAATCATAGAGGATACGCGTTTACAAAGAAATTTAGGAGTACGCCGTGAAGGGAGTAAACAATTGGTGCATCGAATAGAAGGGGTACATAAATCTAAGATGATATTAGGATCAGCCTCGTGTTTAGAAGCCCAAATAGCTAATGGAAGAGGAGGTGGATCATCATTCATTGGATATTTTTATCCTTTTCCTTTGCAAGTGTTTACAGCCAGACCACCCATTGCCTCTTATGAGACTAATCTCGGGTCTGTGTCCTATCATCTTCAATGGGCAACCATTATACCGAGTACTTAATTCCTCAGGTAACAGCACCACTATAGAAGACATCCCCCATCGGGCCATTTTAGATATTTTTATCCTTTTCCGTTGTACAAACAGTCTTGTGACTTTATCTTTTATTGATATTTTAAATTTCGAAAGTATAATCGAACAATATTACAAAAATAAGAAAGTAAACTAATAAAAAATAAAAAGAGTAGCTTCACGACTCATACAAGTAAAGAAATCTAAACTAAAAAAAAATAAAAAAAAAAAAAACTAAACTATTACAGAATCGCATACCCCAACTTTACCCGAAGGCCAGTGTGAGTCAACTATCCAACATCCAAAAATCCAGTCCGTTACCAGAAAGAGACCCTAAGAGGTTGAACTGTTAAGCGGCGCAGAAAATCCAAGTGCGAAATCCATGATCCACCCTGAATTATAGAAGAGGATATCCAAGAAATCCAGGAATCCTGAGAAACTGTCGCCAAAGAAGAGTTGTGATTTTGTGTAGAAGTATCAATAGAGGAGGAATTTGTAGATGGGCCACGTAATTTGGAAGCAGCCGAGATACCCTGCGACTCATCCCAAGCATGAAAAAGAACATTCCGACAAAGCCAAATTTCACCATATAATTAAAATTGGAAGTCATTAAGAAGGGGAGAAATAATCTTGTATATAACAGAGAGAGGAAAGTGTTGATTCAAAAATGCCGTTAAATGCGCAGGCAACAATCCTCGAGTAAGCCAAAGACAGGATGAAGAAGGAGCTTCATAGTCCCAGCAATCCAAAGCAGAAAATTCGGTTTGAAAAGAAATATCCAAAGATTTCAAGGATAGAAAAAAAGATAAACAAGAATCCCTAAATTTAATGACTTCAGACCGGTGCGTTAAACAAGGATTTAATTCCGGTAAAATATAAGGACAAGTCCAAAGATGATTCAAATCTTCAGGAGCAGAATTACACTGCGGACAGAGCCAGTCAGGAGAGTATAAGTAAGGTTTGCGTTGCTGAAGAATAGTTAAAGTAGGCAACATATCCAAAAGAAGTTTAATGCGGAAGATCCAAAATTCAGGACGACCATTCCTATGTGAAGCGAAACCTTTAATTTGTGAAAGGCAAAAATATATACCAGCCCAATCAAAAAGTGAAGGAGAACCAAGAGCAGTAAAACGCGCTAATGAACAGAAAGATAAAAGAGCACGAGCATCAGCTATAGAGCGGAGAAAATGACGAATATTCACGTCAATAGGCAAAGAATTAAAAGACAACAAGCATGGAGCATAACAAAATGCTGAAGGTAGAGCAGTGGGTTGTAAAGATGAATGAGCATCTTTGGCCAGAGAATCCGCTTGAACATTGTATATGTCATCGCCATGAGCAGGGACTTTGATCAAATCGACTTTAAGATTATGATCCATGATAAGTTGTCGAATGGAAAGCCAAAGAAGATGATTAGGTTCTCGAAGTAACTTCGGTGAGAAAGGAGCATCAACAAACCGTGTCCAGAGTGAAATTAATTGACTACAATCAGTATAAATAGAGATTGATGAATCACGGGAGAGGGCGCTCAATCCTAATAAAACAGCAGAAATTTCAGAACGCAAAGCTGAAGGGAAGTAAGAAGGGAGATGCATGGAGGAAGATTCTAGGACAAGTCCATCAGCATCGAGAGCAATCCAAGCAGAAGTCATGGAAGAAGGCGAAGGATCATTGGTAGGATGGAACGAACCATCTGTGTACAAAGATTGCACAGAAAGCGGCAAGATACTATCTTCGATCCTGTCCATAAAGGAAGGAGAAAGAGCAGGAGACGTGTTCGAAAAGTGAACAAGAGCCAAGGAAGTGGCATAACTCCATGAAGTAGATAGAGTAATGGGAAGATAGGCCGCAAAAACTTTGGCATTTCTGGTAGGGTAACCCACAGTTTCCGATAGGGTAACATTGAAAAAACACTTTTCGCTGTTACAGCGCTGTTTGATGGCAGATTTCTTAGATAAGGCAGGAATGTTAAAAACACAACCAGAACAAGGGTTATAGGATCGTTCATCAGCCGAGGTAGATACAGGGAGCCAATGAGACATGATAGCTGAGTTTTGTTTCTTGTAGGTGATACACACACGGCCAACAGATAAAGTTTGGGTAGCAGAATCAAGATTAATAGCCCATTGAGGATAAAAATGATAATCTTTAACAGTATGATCTAATAAACAAATAGAAGCTACAGTAAAAAAAGAATTAATAAAATATGAAGGTAAAAGTAAAGTAGAAGAATAAGAAGAAAGAAAATTATTATTCATAAATGTAAACCAATTAGGGATCCGCCCTTTACGACCAACGATGCCAAGGTACCGAAGGTCAAGCCAATTCATGAGATAACGTCCACAAGGCGAAACCAATTGAGCGAGCACAAATATATTCAAATTTTTCCAAAGTTTCCAACTCGATTGAAAGATGGAATGCGGTAGAATAGATCAGAGTAGCAAAGCAGGTTGTAAATCACGCCTCGGAGGCCGGAAGGAAAGAGACCACGTGATGTTCAAACGTGAAGAAAACAATAACGAATTAAACAAAGTGTGCGTTCGCAAAGAAACGATCTGTGACCATGGTTCTAAGTTAATAGTAGTCGGGCAACTTTCAGCACCCAAATATCCTTGGAGATGGGAGATAGCATAAAGGGCAAAATCTTTGAAATCTGGATGAGTGAAAATTTTTTGCCAAGATGCAATATGGGAAGAAAGAAAACGATAAAAAGCATTTTGGATCGAAAAGGGAAGTTTAAGAAATAACAAGGGCAACGGAGTGGTCGCAGCAAGACCAGCTTTCCTTCGAAGTACTGAAAACATAGGTTTGACTATTGAGTGAATAGTACTTTCAGAGAAAAGGGTAGTTTGAAGACGAAATTCCAATCGCGGAAGAAGGACAGCATTATAGAGATAGGCCACATGTTGTGCTAATAATTTATTCGGTCCCAGAAGAGCTGCCATATCTTTAACCATGGAGCGCGCTTGTTTGAGAACAAAATTAGAAGAGGCGGACAAAGAAAACCAGACGCCTAAAAAGCGAAAGGAAGTATTGAGGGGTAAAGAGGAAAGGGAAAGAAAAGTATTGGAAACAATAAAAGAGGGTGAAAGTTCAAAAGTAATCTTCGAAGAAGGCGAAGAGGATGAAAGAAGGACATATTTTGCTGAATTGGCTTGAACATTGTTTAAAGTATAAAATTCAGCAGTAATAGAAAGACGATCTTCTATGCCAGATTTTGAAAAAGCAATAAGTGTAGAATCATCCATAAACGTTAAATGTGAAATTGGTAAAGAGCATTGTTCAAATTCAAGTGGAGAATAATTTAGAAGAGCTGAAGATTTTAAAATAAAAGGATCTCGTGCTTGTTGATTCAAAACAGTAAGTAAAGGATCCAAATAAATAACCCAAAGAAGAGGGGAAATGATTTCTCCTTGATCGATACCAACACGTACTCTATAAGCAGCTGTATCACCATGACAAGTAATTATCTTATTATTTCGTCGTGTAAAAAGATTAAAAATAAATCGCACTAAAAGTGCAGGGATATGTAAACTATCTAAAGCTAATTTAAGCATATTTAAATCCATAGAATCAAAAGCTTTAGAGATGTCTTGAGAAACGATCCATAGTTCCTGATCATCAGTAGAGTCATGTTTATGTTGATGAATAATCGCATCAAGCATTTTGATAGGGGCATCAGTAGAACCACCAGGTAGACCCGCAAAGTTACCTCCTTGGAGAATTTTATTATCAGCAAGGATATTGGAGAGACGATTAGTGACGACCTTAACTACACATTTGCGGACTGTTTCCAGAAGGGTAATAGGTCGAGTGTTCTTAAGTTGAGCATCAAATTCGTGAGGTTTAGGAATAGGGTAAACCACAGCTTCACGCCAGTCAGCAGGAATATCACCGCGAGAAAGACAGGTATTGGCAAGTAAAAGAGAAAAATCCAAGGCTTCACCGGACAGATGTTTAATCATCTCATAAGAAATTTTTGAAGGGCCGGAAGCTTTGTTATTTGGCATGGAGGAAATCACAGCAGACCATTCTTGTAAAGAAATGGGCGCCAAAACAGGATCATATAATGAAGCAGATACACCGGAAAGGGGAGTGTAAGCTTGTTGCCATCGAGCAGGGAATGAAGCAATAGAAGAATAACGGACCAACGGAGGAGAAACGATTGATTGAAAATGAGAAATAGCAGCTTGTTTAATGTCTGAAGGATCCGTTAATAAAGTAGGAGTTGAGTCCAGGACGACCAGGACACGGTCAAGAACTATTGAACGTTTTTCTACTGATAGGGCAGAATCTATGAAGGTGCCGAGCGAGTTCGAAAAGTGTTCGTCACGTAGTGCAGTATAATATTCCACTGAGTCCGTAAGGTGTTGGGCGAATTTAGTAGATAAAAAGGCAGAAACTAAATTCTTCTGGGATCGTAAAAACGATTTAAATACAGATGCAGGGGTTGTAGAATAGGTAGGAACTGAATAATCAGGAAGTAAGGATGCAAGGTTTTCAAGATGGGAGGGCAAAGCAGCAGTCATTTGCGCAATCTGAGTAGGCCGATTAGAACGACGAGTAGTAAGGCGATATAAAAATCGATCTAAAAACTTGTTAATGGCAATAAGTTTAGTTAATTCAGGAGAGTACGAATGTCGGTGTGTATTAGAGACTTTTTGAAAGGGTAATGTTTCGATTGCAGCACTAATTATGGCAGCTTTCAATGCATGCCACATACGATCAAGAGAAAGAGAGGAGAAATCAAAATTAGAGTGATATTGTCTATCTAAATAAACTCCAAGAGAATCATCGACTTCAGTGGTAAAATTATTCCATTGTTCAATTGAAGTGGAAGTATAAGAAAAAATTGTACGCATTTCAT